TCTTGGGAGCCCCGTCGGGTTGCAATTCAACTCTTGCGGACCTTTTGGAGCCCTCTGGAATATAAAGCCTCTTGAGGGCTCCGTGGGGTTCTTCTTCGGCGTCTTTTCGCGGATGTTTGGGATCTTCTGGGGAGTCTTTCGGGCCGTCTTGGAGCCCATTGGGGGCCTTTGGGTGCGCTTTTGAGCGCTTGTTGAGCTTTAGTCACGGACTTATTCGTCCAAATAACGTGCGACGCTCTTGGGGCTCTCTTGGGCGATCTTGGTGCCACCTTGGGACCCCTCAGGCTTGGGTCGCTTGAAGCTCTATACCGAAGGGACGCCATGGGAATCATGCAACAAATTTCGCTTCACCGTCTCACAAACCGTGAAGGGCCCGAGCCGAAATGGTGGCCGTGAGCAGCCGAGGACTTCTGAACCCGAACCAACCTGGAGGGAAAGAAAACGAGGACCATGACCACGACCGAGCGCGGAAACGTCCGCGCGCGATCTTGGTCCGTCGTCGCCCCTCTTGGTCACCGCCGATTCGTGGGCCATCTTCGCGAAGACTCGACGGCCAGTATGGACTATGCCCAAGATCGGCGTCGACGGGATCCAGCCACACCCTGGTCATGGCCATCGTGCCTGCTCCCCCGACAACACCCACCACGCGGGGCGGCCCGAGAACCCGCGAGCCGCACCCAGACCGCGGCGGCACCGAGCCGGCGACGCCCTTTCGACCGGCCGTTGGGAGCTCGAGCAGAGCTGGCCCAGGTCGAGGCTGACTACCTACCGGACCACCCCAGCCCAACCCGAAGACCCGACCTTCGCCAGAATTTCGGGTGGGGGGGGGGGGGCACGGGCTCCGTAGGTGATCCTTCCAGGTTCCCCGACCCCCCCCCCCACTGGAAATGGAGGGCAAATCGGGGCCTTCGGGTTGGGCTGGGGTGGTTTGGTGGGCGGTGAGAAGCTGGCCATCGCTCGGACGTCCATTCCCTGTGTTTTTTTCGGTTTCGTGCGTGGCTTCTTCGCCAAATGATCAAGGATGCTCCTCGATGGTCCTCGCCGAAGGGAAAATGCACACGTCCGAGCGATGTCCAGGTGAGAAGCGGGATCCCCAGGCATCCCAAGCCCCCTCGGGTCGTGGCAAAATCACGACGGGAACTCTTGCGCCATCTTCGGGCCCCACGGGCCCTTCCCGGGCGCCTAGAGCGTCAACAAAAACAATCCGCAGGGGCGCTCAAGCTGTGGGGGACACGCGGAAAAACTAGATGTCCAGCCGCAAGCGAGGGGCACCCCCTGGCACATCTGGGCACTTTCCAGCACCTTCCGCATCCCTCCAGCCCCCGGCCTTCCTCCCCCCCGCCGCACGCTCCCTTACTCCTCCCCCTCCTCCTTCTTCTTCTTCTTCTTCTTCTCCTCCCCCTTCTCCTTCTCCTTCTTCTTCTTCTTCTTCTTTTTCTTCGTCCTAGTTGAATGGAAGAGCAGACTGCGTAAGCATCAACATTCGGAGGTCCGCGCGTGTCTCTTGGATCGGCGCTGGACCCCCCTCGCTCGCGCGGTTCGTGCACCAGGGGTGGCGCCGGAGGCGCCGACGGGGGAGCCCAGCGCCAGTGCAAGAAAGAGCCGCGCGGGCCTCCGAACACTTCCGTGTATGCCGTGCCCCCTCCCTCGGTCACTCCTCTCCCCCCTCCTCCCGCTTCCCCTGGCATTTCTTTTCATGTCCACATTCTGAGTACTGCTTCTGGCCCTCTCCGCGTTCTGTGCTTCTTACACATCTAGGACTCCAGGAGCTGCTCTTTCACGTGCTGCTGCAATCCGATGGCTTTCGGTGTTTCAAGAAAAATTGGACTCCCGCTCCAGCGTGGGCCTCATTTTCGGATCGGCGCTGTGCTCCCATCGTTCAGAATGGCGCTCTCGCCCCAGCTCGGGCCACGTTTCTGGATCTGAGTCCTTCCTCATCGCTCTCATTTACCCTCCTCTGCCTTCCCCTGGTCCTCCTGTTCCTCCCGCTCCTTCTACTCCAGGTCCTGCTGCTGCCGTTCATGCCCGCCCTCCTCCTTCCTCCTCCTCCTCCTCCTTTTCCTCCTGCTCATCCTCCTGCTCACCCGCCACCACCTCCTCCTCCCCCTCCACCTCGTATGTACGCAGCTCCCCTTTTCCGATTTCGCATAACGCGATATCGCGTCGGCTGCGACATGTGTCCGCGGACAGAGAAACATATCAGCGCCATTGGAAAGGATGGGAGGGAGGGATAGGATGCCGGATATGGGGCGAACGCACCTAGCTAAGCCTCCTCCCCTCTCCGCCACCTCCGGGTGTGGCAGGGAGGAGGAGCCAGGGGGAGGAAGAGGACCAGAGAGGAGGAGGAGGAGGAGGAGGAGGAGGAGGAGGAGGAGGAGGAGGAGGAGGAGGAGGAGGAGGAGGAGGAGGAGGAGGAGGAGGAGGAGGGAGGAGGAGGAGGAGGAGGAGGAGGAGGAGGAGGAGGAGGAGGAGGAGGAGGAGGAGGAGGAGGAGGAGGAGGAGGAGGAGGAGGAGGAGGAGGAGGAGGAGGAGGAGGAGGAGGAGGAGGAGGAGGAGGAGGAGGAGAGGAGGAGGAGGAGGAGGAGGAGGAGGAGGAGGAGGAGGAGGAGAAGGAGGTTGTGGCCGTGCTCTGGAACACGCTGGGCCTGGCCCCTCTGCGGCAGAGGGCGGGCGCGCTGCTCGGCGTTCCGCGGGGCAGAGGGGGGGAGGGGCACCGTGCAGAGCGCAGCGGAGAGCTCTCTGGCCCTCCTCGTGGGGGATCGTCGGAGCCCTCGTGGGCCAGCTCTGGGTGCTCAGGAGCCGTCTGCGACACAGGAAGGCTGCACGCATGCAGCCGAAGCGCAGGACGAGACGAGAGGGCGAACTGGGCGGGGCAGGACCGACGTGGAGAAGAGAGGCGGATCAGCTCGATAGGACACCTGTCTCGGGGAATCGAATGACGGCATGACTAGAAACTTTGCAGGTTCGCGCGGACTTCCTGGATCGGCGCTGGCGCGCTCCGCGCAGGAGGCGCCTCCAAAGGGTTTCGAGGCAGACCCGAGAACTCCGCGCGGACCTCGGGAAGTTAAGTTTGTTTCCCAATCGCGTGTCGCTGAAGGTTGCTACAGGAGGCAACAATAGCAAAAACACAGCAGAGCCCCACAACGGGGACTGGGAGCCCGAGGCCGCCTGGTCGGGCAGCCGGTCCGGCAGCCAGCCCAGCAAGCGCTGCTCTGGACGGCCACGCTTACACTGGTGAGACATGCGCAGGGGTGCGCATGATCTCACGATCTATGCAGAAATCGTGCTTCCACACCAGTTCTGACGAGGACGAGGCGCAGCTGCACGCGCCCCAGGTCCTCGCGACAGGATCCCGAGGCGGCTGTCAACGCGAAGGCTTCGGCGCTGAAGGCCGACGTGGGCGGCTGCGCAGAGGAGGCTGTGCCGGGCGGCGGCCCCTCCGGCGAGGTGCCCGACGCGGGGGGCTCCGTCGAGGGGGCCACGCGCGCGGAGCCCTCCCCGCAGCTCCGCGCCATGCCTGGGCGGGACGGCCCGCTCGACGCGTCCAGCACGGAGAGGCTGCACGCCGTCCGCGAGAACGGCCCGCTCGGCGCGTCCACCGCGGGCGGGCCGGCCCGTGCACGTTCAGAGCGGCCCGCTCGACAGGCTCAGCACGGAGAAGCTCGACACGCTCAGCACGAAGCTGCTGGGCGGGACGGCCCGCTCGACACGTTCGGCGCGGAGGCGCTGCACGCCATCCTGGCCTTCCGCGGCCTCCGCCGCCGCGCCCTCGCCGAAATCGCGAGCCTCGCGGGATGAAGCGGATGCTGCGGTCCGATCGCGGCTATAGGCCTGCTAGACTCGCCTCGCGATTTCGCGCGGCGCCCCCCCCCCCCCGCCCCCCACCCGCGTTGAAAGGTGAAGGTTTCCGTATTCGGCGTTTCGACATTGAGCGGGAGGGGGGGGACTCCACCTGCTCGAATCAGGCGCCCAAAACAGCCAAAATCTACTCCAAGTGGAGGGGGGGGGGGGGGCGAGGGCCCGCGCCGATCGGCAAAACAATGAACAAAAAACGATCGCTGGTTTTGGGGGTGCGCCGCTTGGAAATGGGCTCGCCCCCGTTGTGCGAACCCGCGCCCTCGCTGGGGGTGGCCGCTGGCCGCTGGCGGCTGCCGGCGGTTGCCCGCTTCCGCCCCCGCGGGGGTGGACTCCGCCTGGCCTTGGTCCTTCGTTGAAGGGGCAAGGTTGGGGCCCAGACATGCGATGTCCTGATTTTTTCAAGACGAGGAGAGGACGAGGAGTACCAGGAGCAGGAGCAGGAGGAGGAGAGGAGGAGGAGGAGGAGGAGGAGGAGGAGGAGGAGGAGGAGGGACGGAGGAGGAGGAGGAGGAGGAGGAGGAGGAGGAGGAGGAGGAGGAGGAGGAGGAGGAGGAGGAGGAGGAGGAGGAGGAGGAGGAGGAGGAAGAGTAGGAGGCTCCGTAGCCATTTTGGCTCATGCCTTTCCGTAGGCCCCCCCTCCTGGACCCTTTCCCCAGGACGGCTCTTCGTCCCGAGTCGTTTTTAGACGGCCCCGGGGCCCAGCGATGACCCCCCCTCCCTGGGGCCGAGAGCAGCGAAAAACTTGCAGTCCTTCTTCTTCTTCTTCTTCTTCTTTTTGTACGACGCGACCCTGTCTGGGGGCGGAAGCCTGTCTGGGCTTCGGTCTGGGGGCTCCTCGTCGCTGGGCTCGGGGGCAGCGCGTGCGCGGCAGCCACTGCATGTGGCGGAGAGAGGAACTCACGGGGGCCAATGGTGCATGCCATGGGGTGCCTCCATGGCCCTCTCGTGCCGGTTGCAATCCTAATCCTAATCCCTACCCCCCTCCTCTCTCCTCTCCTCCTCCTCCTCCTCCTCCTCCTCCCTCCTCCTCCCTCCTTCCTCTCCCTTCCTTCCTTTCCCCTCCTCCTCCTCCTCCTCCTCCTCCTCCTCCTCCTCCTCCTCCTCCTCCTCCTCCTCCTCCTCTTCGCCGCAAGAGCGCCGGCGTCCTCCACCCGGCAGGCGCTGGTGCCCTTGAGGCGCACCGCCAGGTTCATGATCTCGTCGAAACTCAGGGCGACCTCCTCGGTCTGGCCTGAGATCAGGAGCGAACCAAAGACGTAGGCACAGTAAGGCTTGGGGCTGCGAACAGACAGCCCTCACAGGTAGTCACAGCGGGCCTAACAGGCCCCCCAAGTAGTCCCAGTTGGCCTCAACAGGCCCCCCAAGTAGTCCAGGACGGTCTCAACACCCCGGCACCGCCTCCTGCGGCGCCCTTGGAGCGCTCTGCGCCCCAAAATTGAGGTGTTGAGACCGCCCTGGACTACTCGGGGAGCCTGTTGAGGCCAGCTGGGACTACTCGGGGTGGTTAATTCTGGGCAGCTGAGACTACCTGTGGTGGCTGTCTGTGCGCAACCCGAAGCGGGTCCATATGCGTACACGAAATCCATGACGTTTTCGAGAGGGCGCAGCATGCGAGCGTTCGTGAGACGTGAGGGGGCTTCTCGAACTCGCGTCTTATTCATGAGCGTGGCTGGGCACGGATGTCCTGTTTGTGCCTACAGTAGGCGCGCACTGTGCATAGAAACAATCCGCGTCCACCCCCCTGGGCCCATGACCAATGCACACGCGCACACGCGCTCCTGGCTAGGATCGGTGTCGGCTTGTGTGGCTGACGTGCCCCGACGGCCGTCAGGGGAGACGTGCGAGAACAACATCTCGCAGAGCGTCATGAGGCCCTTGATGTCGACGTCGAAGTGGTGGAGCGCCTGCATCACCTGGCCCGCTCTTAGGGTAGCAAACGACGATACGAGCATAAAAATACGGAGGCACCGCCAGGGGGCCCCAACGACGATCCCAGCGAAGATCCGAGGAATCTGCGCGGACATCCGAGTCGTTATGTTCATGCAGTTGCTTGTTCCCCTAGCTCTGGAGCCCCAGAAGTCAAAGATGTTGCCATCTCTTGGGGCACGCATCTCCTACTTCCGGGCGCTTTCCGAAAGCGGAGCGGCCTTCGTGCGGCTTCCACCGGCCTCCACCGAGGGCCACACTCCAATCTCTTGGACCCCTCGAAGGTGAGGCCCTTTCCGGAACGCCCTGCCTCGACATTGCGGATGAACAGGTCGAACTCGGACTGCTTTAGTTTCCCGTTGCCGTCCGAGTCGTACACGTCCATGATGTCGTGCAGCTTGCCCCGCAGCGTTACCTTTGCCATCAGCTCGTCTTCGCTACGCTTCACAATGGACACCATTTCGCAGACAACTCCTGAGAAGGAAGATGATTTGAGAATTGACGACACGACATGGGAAACCGGAGATCGGCGGAGGAGGCGGAGGAGAACGGAGAAAGGAGGAAGATGAGGAGAGCGGAGAGAGGATGATCATGAGGAGGTGGAGGAGGAGATGGAGGAGGTGGAGGAGAGAGGAGCAGGAAGAGGACTCCTATCAACATGTTGAGCATAAGAACGCTGGTCGTAGTTATGTATAACAAGAAAACGCACGTCAAAGTGTTGCCGCCCTCGCTGTTGATCACGAAGCCCTTCGTCCCCACGGAGTCCAAGAACGTCCCGTGCATCAGCAGGAAAAGCATCGTGTGCGTCACGGAGGGGAAGTACTCCTAAAAGAAGAAAGCACGGCATAAACGCAATCAAACTTTTGGCGTTCCGCGCGGATCTCTTGGATCCAGGCTGGGCCCCCTCGGCGGCGCCTCCGGCGCCACCCCTGGCGCGCTCCGCACGCCAGGGCCCAGCGCGGATCCAAGAGATCCGCGCGGAGCGCCAAGACCTTACGCTTATGGCGCTTGTTCTCTTCGTCCAACTCCTGCTCGAGGATGCCGCCGGGCTCCACCAGGCTCCGGAAGATGGTAGGGGAACGAACAATGACATGAAGATAACAACTCGGAGGTCCGCGCGGATTTCTCGGATCGGCGCTGGACCCCCCCCCCGTCTCGCGGAGCGCGCCAGGGGCGGCGCCGGAGGCTCCGCCAGGGGGGTCCAGCGCGGATCCGAGAAATCCGCGCGGACCTCCGAATCTTTTATGCTTATGTCATTGCTCGTTCCCCCAGATGATGCTGAAGATGTAGATGATGATCAGCAGCAAGCCCACCGCGATGCTCACGGGCCGAATCGAAGTGGTGATTCCTCCGCGGGGGGGGGGCGCCGGCCGCTGGCCTACCAGCGTGCCCTGTCGGGGCTCCAGGAGGAGGAGGAGGACGAAGAGGAAAGAGGAGGCGGAGGAGGACGAGGAGGACGAGGAGTAGGCGGAGGAGGCGGAGGAGGAGGAGGAGGAGGAGGAGGAGCAGGAGGAGGAGGAGGAGGAGGAGGAGCAGGAGGAGGAGGAGGAGGAGGAGGAGGAGGAAGAGGAGGTTGAGGAGGTTGAGGAGGTTGAGGAGGTTGAGGAGGAGGAGGAGGATGATGATGAGGAGGAGGAGGAGCAGGAGGAGGAGGAGGATGAGGAGGACTTTCCACAGGACTTTCCCAACCAGACGATGTCTGGATGGCTGGGCTCTCGGGAGGACATCACTTGAGTGGCCTCCCTTGAAAGACGCGAGACATAACCCAACTCCCCATTTTGGTGGGAGGTGAGCATACTTCCGAGAGGCCAATGAGGTGTCCCCTCCCTTCCAAAGCCCGACTACCACACCTTATGCAAATCCAGTCTGGCTCATAGAAGGCGAGCTCATGGGATGCATGGCCGCTCCTGGTCCCCAGGGCGAGCTGGGTGTGGCGCGGCTGGTTGGTCGGTGGGCCAGGGCACTCACGGGTAATCCATTCGCTCATGACTTGCTTACATGCTAATGTACTGACCGAGCTACGACAATCTAGACAGCTCCATCGGGCTTGCAAGTTACAGAGGGTGTGAGACGACTTCAGCTGGGCAGCTCTGAGAGCGTCTGGCCTAGAACGTTTCCCAATCCTCCGAACAGTCCTGTCCGAGGGCACACTGTTTTCAAACTCGAACGCGCTTAGAGTGGCACGAATGAGCCTATTGCGGACTAAGGCGGAGACGGCGACAGCCCACTCATAACAGGAGAGGCGAGCTGGTGGGATCTGGTGCTGCTGGGCGCCTTTGACCGCAAGCTCATCAACAGTCTCGTTTCCACACCAAGCATAGAACGGAACACCTTTCTGCAATTTTTCCTCGAGGCTGAGGTGACTGTTCATCCAGTAGACCTCTACTCGAGGGTCCTCTCTGTCCGTCAAAGCTGCGCCAACCTCGACCCACAGGTCTCCCATCGTGCTCCAACTGGCAGGGCGTGTGTGTCTGCCTTTTCATCCAGCCCTTGAATAGGACCTCGGAGTCCGTCCAATACTGAAGCCTGCCGCGTGTGTTCAGCATTGCAGAGATGAGTGCTGGGAATTCCGCTCGATTTTTTTCTTTCCTGGCGAGGGCCTGCGAGAGGTGCGAAAGCCCCTCCCCTCACTCTAGGCTGGCTGTGGTCCGACACGTCGAGCGCAACCCATCCCCATCCACACCTGCGGTAACGAGGGTCGCCTGACTCTTCTCCTCCGCTGCCGTCTCCGCAGGTGATGAGGGGCAGTCCGCACGGAGCCTCTATCGGGGCCGTGTCCAACTCACCGAACCTCTCCTCCGTGTAGGGCGTCTCGCACGGTGGTGGCGTGGTCCACGAGGTCGGCGGTAGCCCACGTAGCCAGAAGCACGGCGTGTGGGAGGCTCCCGCCTCTGCCGTGGGCACCAGGTGCTCAGACTTGGTGAAGGCGGGGTGCTTCTCCCTGTCCTGGCATTGTCCCCATGTTCTGTGGAGGTCGTCTGCCCTGGCGCCGCAGCTGCAATTGCCCGTGCCCGCGAGGTAGCCGTAGAGGTCGAACTTGCGCGCTGGCGTCCAGGTGCCCGCCGTCATGGCGGTGAGCAGGGCGTTGGCCTCAGGGAGCCTGCCCTGCTTCCGCAGGCGGGCCAGGCGGCGGGCCGCGTCGCTGGTGTCGACTCCGTCCTCCATGCCCTTGCCGTTGAAGTGGGCGGCCGCCTTTCGCCACATGCCCCTCTGGATATCGTCGATGATGGCGTCGATGATGGTGGATGGGGTCCTTCTCAGCTGCATCTTCTGCCATTTCCCAGTCATCCCCTCGGGGGTCTGTCCATCGCGTAGCTGACTTGGGGTCCCAGCCAGCCTCCCACAGGGCCAGGATTAGGGAACCCATGACTCCACGCCGTTGACGCCATCGCTGCTGCTTGGGGGCAATCTTGACTCTGGCATAGATTTTACCACAAGATCTGGAAATCAACTTCCTCAGGTCGGGTCTGTGTGCATAGAGGTCAAACCATGCCCGTACTTTGGGCCCGAGGTATCTGCAGTGCTGGGTCTTTGCCAACCAGGCTGAGGAAAGACGTAGTGCACCGTCCTGGCCTGGCCTTGGCTATGCCCGACATGGATCTCCTTCTGGCCTGGGTGATGGCTGAAGGCGGTTCTCCATGCGCCTTCACTCCATAAAGTAACGCTGGCATTGCACCTTGGTTGAGCAGGTGAAATCTCTTCTCTCTTCTCAATATCCGTAGCTTTCGGCCTAACGTGTTCATCCGAGTGCATGCTGTCTTTCGTCTTGCCACGTGGGTGGCCCGACGAGTGACTCCTTTTGAAGATCTGTCAATACCAAGATCACTAGCTTCTCCTGCTGGCGTAATATCCACTCCAACTTTTTCAAACGTGATGTGATTCTCTTGGTCATCTTCCAATCAGAACTGAAAATAACACTCTTGTCTGCGAGCTCCAGGCCTTCTCGCTTCAGGCTGTGGGCAAGCAACGCCGTCGTCTTGATAATGACACCCTCGACCGCCACAGGGCTGCCGTAGGCTGAGGTGCTGATGTCGTCGAGCCAGGCCCGAGGCATCGCCCTGGGCTGTACTACGGCCGTGACGGACTCCAGCACCTTGTACACCACCGCCCGCGCCAGGTTGTTGGCGTGGCGCGAGCCTGCCAGGAGGGGCAGGTCCGCCTGGCATGGGGGCCCGTAGGCACCCTGCTGTCTCAAAATACGTGGTACACAATGAATCTGCAGCTCGAGCGCCGGGATCCTCTTGGGGAAGTTGATGTCCAGGCACGCTGTAGCAACAGACTCGGGGATGAGTGAATCATAGAACCTGGCAATGTCGGCCAGACTGACAGCCGAGGACATGACCAGAGCGTTCGCTGCCTCGTCCTGCAAGGCTCTGGCCAAGGCCTCTCTCAAGCACGAGGACCCCTTGAGGGCTGAGTCCAAGTGCCTCGAGGCCGAAGAAGCGACCCATTCCTCCACCTGTGGCCTCGTGAGCATCTGCCAACAGCGGATAAGCCACGCGATGAGGGCCAGAGCCCTGTCTCCCGACTTCTTGGGCTCGAGCATGATGATGGCCTGGAGCAGCTGGTGCGGCCAGATCTGCAGGGCCTCCACTGAATTGATCAGATCCACGAACGCCTGACGAGCAGGCATGGGCAGGCGGCGCACATCGGAGGCCACAAGCCTGTCGACGCCTCTGCCCCTGTCGGGCTGGAGGCGGAGGGCCTGGTCGAAGTGTTGTAATGTCCAACTGGGGCAGGGCTCCGCCCTCGCCTGGCCACGAATTCGAGCCAAAACGGTCACGGTGTCAGTTCTGTTAACTGTGTCCGCAGCCCAAATGTCTTCAACAAACCCTGGTTTTGGCGTCAACGATTTCGGGTGGCGACGTGGCTTTACACTTGCCTAGCACAAACTCGTCTTCGAAACGGGGGGGGGGGGGCTTAGTGAGACGGCGCAACTTACCCACAGGAGCCTTCACAAGGTCAGAGAGCCAGTCGGCCCAAACACGCAGTTCCTTTTTCAAGATCGTGTCTGTGTGCGCGGGTGGACTCTTCTGACGCCTGAAGGGCCATGCCCGCGAGCGTCTGCGGTTCAACCATACTGATGTCCGCCAGCCGCTGCACCCACAGACTACGATGGAACAGCGCGTTAGCCGACGACCGAGCACCTGTGGATGGGGCCCCTTCTTGGGACAAACGCCTGGCAATGTTGCGACGCTCCTGCTGCTGCTGGAACCCTTTATTCCTCTCGACGAGGGTGAACAATCAGTTGAACGTGTTGGCGACTCTGGACCACCAACCCGCCTCGAAACTCTGGTAACGCGGTCTTCTCAAACCACGCTCCTTCACTACTGAGGTTTTATATCTATAATTGTAAGCCCCACCAGTATACTGAGCTGCGTCGCTATCATGGATGCCGTAGGCCTTTATATAGAAAGCTTCCGTGTGCTGCACAAGGGCCCCATACTTCCGACCAAGTGCCAACGAGCTCTGTGGGCAGACCTGGAAGGCGGGACAGGCGGCAATGCGGTCAGGGACAGGCTCGCTGAGGGGGGGGGACTTCAGCGTCGATTTCAAGCCGCAAGTCCTCCAGCGATTCGGTCGGGGGGCCCGCGGAAGCCCTCGGTGAAATAGCAGCTGCTGTGGCAGGAAGGGACGAAGTAGTCGATCTCCCAAGATCGGCCTGCGAGCAAGCTTGACTAGGGGCAGGGGGCTCGTCGGGGCCTTCCAGGCCCTCGCAGCCATCCAGGCCGTCGAGCTCCTCAAGAGGGTCCGCCTCTGAGGAGTCCAGGCCCGCGAGGCGGGTGCCACCAGAGACTCTCGGCGACGCGCAGCCCGCGGGGCCAGGGGGCGCCCTATCCACAGAGGCGGACTGCGAGGCCATATTGCCGTTGGCCAGACTAGAGCCAAAAGGAAAATGCGACCGCCCCCTAGGTCCCAGAGCTTCCCAACGTCGGTTAGCTAATTCCTGGTCTTTTTGTTCGCGGTCGGCGAGTGCCGAGGCGCGTGCGAGGGCAACAGCAGCTGCGGCCGAAAACTGCTGGCGAAGGGCCCTCATCCCTCAAGCGCCTCTGCCTCTTGCTGTCGGGGTTCGGCTTTGCCCCCTTGCGCGCGGGGTGCTGAAATGGGATGGGCATGACCAGGCTGCGTGTCGGCGCTGGTATTACACTCGCCTTTATGGTTGAAGCCTGACCGGCGTGGGGCTTCCACGGGACCGAGACAGTGCTAAGGTTCTCAAAATAGAGGATCGCATCTGGACTCATCAGCACATAGTCTATGAGCGAGGGTTGGACACCCGCCTTGAAGCACGTGAAACCGTCAGGGATAGTGACGATCTGTGCTCCAAGTCCTCGTGGCCAACCTGGCTTCCAAAACTGTTCTGGGGACGCATGCAAATCTCCCGCAACAATCCAGGGCATCTAGCAAGATCTAAGGAAAGCCCCCATGGAGGACAAAGTGGCAGCATTGTTACCAGTAAAGCAATTCGTACCTTCTAGGTACAAGCTCACTAAGTTGATGCTGACTCCCTTGAGATGCCAAGTGATGGGCATCCAGTTACTGAAACTAAACGTGCGGCAGCTATCTACTAAATGCATGGTCGCCGTGGCCTGCGAGGCAGAGCGTGGAAGCGCCAGCTCTCGGTGGCGCGACGACTGGTGGCGACTGCGTATGGCTGTGACTACTCCACCCCTCGATCCCTGCTTCGAGATCTCGCTGGGTCTGGCGGCAGAAAAGGCAGCTTTGAGGCCCCAGCCTCTCATCTCCCTCTCCGCGGCCTCTAGGCCCTCGTGGCGTACGTGCGTTTCCTGCAACAGGTCGGCGTCATATGAGCCTGTGAGCAGCGACTCCATGACGAACCTGTTCGCAGTGTTCCCCCAAGTATTGATGTTGCCGATGAAGATCTGTCTGGTCGACCGTGATGTGTCATCGGCGGTGTCGGCTCGACCGGGCCCCCTTGCCCGTCAGGCGGGCGCGCTCCCTGGCGAGGTCTGCCCCGCCTGCGCCCTGGCCTGCTCGAGCACCTTCTCCTTCGCCGCCTTCTGCGCCGCTGCCTGCCGCGCCGCTGCCTCCGCCTTCGCCTTGGCCGCGGCCTTGGCTGTGGCGGCCCCGTCCGCCGAGGCTGCGGCGGCTCCGCTGCCCGCGGCAACTCCTGCTGCAGCGGCGGCGGCGGCGGGCGGGGCTGCGGCTGCGGCCGTGGCCGTCTCGGGCTGCGACTGCGCGGCCCCGTCCTTGGCGTCGTTGTTCGCCTTGCGCTTCTTGGCGGCCTGTGTCGCCTCGGTTTTCGCGGCCTCGGCCTTGGCCTTTGCCTGCTCCACGTGTATGCGGAGCTGGGAGACGAAGCCCTCAGTGCGGTCTTTGAACTCCTTGAGCATGGTGGCCTTCGCGGCGATGACCTCCTTCACCGACAGCTCGTCTAGTTCCTCCTCGTCCACGTTCAGCGTGCTGTTCAGGTCTGCGAGGGACTCGGCTGCCAGGGCGCCTGGCGGCATGGACAGGATGTCATGCAGCAGGTTCGCCTTGGATGTGCCCTCCGTCTGAATGGACGTGACCACCTTCTCTGCCTGGACGACTGCTTGGGCCTTGAGTAGCACCTCCTTCTCCAGCTCGGCGAGCGTGGTCTTTGCAGCATCTCTTTTGCCGAAAGCGCTGTCGTACTGCTGGTTTGCCTCCTCCAATGCTTTGGCAGCCTCGGCCAGCCTGATCGCCCTGCTCTTGGGCTCGGCTGACTGCGTGGCCTGGGATACCTCAGTCATGACCTGGGACAGCTTCTGGGTGACCTCAGGGGCAAGCTGCATGCTGGACAGGTGCGAGGATACGCTCTCCAACGCCTGCGCCAGCCCCGTTGTCGCCACGTGCTTCCCGTCTGCGTCCTTGAGGCCCTTTCTCGAAAAGTGTGCGCCGCACCTGCACTGGAAGTTCAGCGCGGGTAGCTTGTTGTTCCATTCCCAGTTCTGGCAGCGCTTGCACTGTGTCCATTTCTGAGCAGACTTGCCACCCATCTTCATGAAGTGGTGGTGGCCGTGGTGCTGGATGAGCTGCTGCTGCGCCTGGCGGGCGAAGTCTTGGCCCACGAGGGTGTTCTGGGCTGCTCTGACGATGCGGCGCGCATCTGCCCTCTGTGCCCGCGCGCGGCGGTGCGCCGCGGCGCCTATGGCCGTGGCGCAAACGACCTCCGACCTGGGCAGGTCGGGGCCGGTGGGGTCGGCTCTGTCCCAAGTTGCCAAAATGGGGCTGGCTTGGGAATGGCGCGACGCCTAGGAGGAGGAGGAGGAGGAGGAGGAGGAGGAGGAGGAGGAGGAGGAGGAGGAGGAGGAGGAGGAGAGGAGGAGGAGGAGAGGAGGAGGAGGAGGAGGAGGAGGAGGAGAGGAGGAGGAGGAGGAGGAGGGGGGAGCGGGAGGGTGAGGAGGAGGAGGAGGAAGAGGAGGAGGAGGCGGAGGAGGCGGAGGAGGATGAGGAGGCGGAGGAGGCGGAGGAGGAGGAGGCGGAGGAGGAGGAGGAGGCCTACCAGCGCCGGCCCCGTCGGGGCCGGGGGCCAGGGCCCGCCTGCCGGTGCGTTGACGCTGGCCTGGCTGCCGAGAAGCTTGCAGCACGCCTGGCTGGAGCCACGCGCGGAATCCAGACAGGATCGCGTCGCACAAAAAATCGGGACGGGCGGTTTTTCGTTGCGGAATCCAGACAGGATCGCGTCGCAAAAGATCGGGACGGGCGTAGTTTCACTCTTTTCGGCCCCTGGGGGCCCTCGCCGGGCCCCAGGGCCGTCAAAAAACAGCGCAAGGTAAAGAACCGGCCCCGGGGAAAGGGTCTGGACTTCCGGGGGCGCCGCCCTGAAAAAATCAGGACGCCGCATGCCTGCAGACACATGTGGGCGATTTCGGAAACCCTGAGCCCCAGAAACGTTTTCATCTCCTGGGGTCGCATGTTTTGCTTCCGCCGCCCTCCGCCAGCGGAGCAGCGCTTGCTTTACTCCGTGACTTTGCTTTTTTCTTCCTCCTCCTCCCCGCGCAGCCCCTCCGGCCATGGACTGCCAGTAGCGAGGTCAGCTGCGACGCAGCGCTGGGCGTCCCCTCCCCCCCATGGCGCCCGAATGCCAGGGCCTGGCATGAAGGAGACAGGCCCTGAGGCGAACGGGTCTTGGACCGCGGGGCCTTCCCACAGGACCAATTCTTCACCTTGAATCGTCTTCTGACGGTCTGGGGGTCCGTGGAGGGCCCCGGGAAACCCAAAACGGTGAACAAAACTCAGGACCCGCTGCCCTGAAGGACCCACATCCTTCATGGCGAAAATGCGAAGGCGTAGGGGAAACTTGGCGCCGCCCGGACTCCTTTCAGCAGCGTCATCATCATCGGCATCGACTTCAGCAGGCGGATCATCCGCGTGAGGCGCAGCAATCGTGCGACGCGCAGGACAGTGAGGTTGCCCTCGACCGAACCTGATGGGGCAGAGCGCCATGAGATGGAGCTGATGCAGGAGGAAAAGGACGATGACAAGGCTGATGATCATGAGGATGATGCTGCTGCTGCTGCAGATGATGGTGATAATGCTGCTGAGGATGATGATGATGATGCTGCTGCTGATGATGATGACGATGTTATTGATGAGGATGCTGCTGCTGATGATGCTGCTGATGATGATGCTAAAGAGTCAGAGTATGCTGCTGTTGTTGATGATGCCGGTAATGCGAATGCGAATGCTAATGATAATAATGATGATGCTGCTGACGATGATGATGATGCTGATGGTGATGATGATGATGATGATGATGATGATGATGATGATGATGATGATCATGATGAAGCTGATGATGCTGATGATGCTAATTATGATAATGGTGATGATGATGATACTGATGATGATGAGGAGGAGGGGAGGAGGAGGAGGAGGAGGAGGAGGATGAGGAGGAGGAGGAGGAGGAGGAGGAGGAGGGGAGGAGGAGAAGGTTGACGCATGAGGAGGAGTACAAGGAGGGGGGAGGAGGAACATGAGGGGGATGGGCAGGAGGGGGCGGGGGAGGTGGAGGAGGAGCAAGAGCAGGCGGAGAGCAAAGAAGAGGGCCACGGGAGCTGTGAGGAGGAGGGGGAGGAGGGGTGGGAGGAGGGGGAGGAGGAATAGGAGGAATAGTAGGGGTACGAGGAGGAATACTAGGAACACATCATATAACGCCACATAATATATTACGAACGCTAACAGAACTAGTGATGCTAAATGAAGGCATGGGGCAGGTGGAGAGGAGAAAGGGGATACAAGGGGAGGAGAGGGACGAAGGCAATATGAAGATACATCCGGATGATAACATGTTTGGGATCTCTCAAGGCCTGGAGGGCCTGGGGAAGATGTGGCGGCGCTGCGGCCGTTTCCAAGGCGCTCCGGAACGCTCCGAGCGCATCGTTGAACGCCCTCCAGCGACTCTCATCTTAAGCGCGATCAGGCGCTGAGGTGGCGTGGAAGCGGTGCTGCCCTCCTTGTTGTGGTTGTGACCACGCCCGAGATCAGCCACTATCAACATCGCTTCCTCCTCAAGCCGGCATCCATTCCTCCTCCTGGGCCTGCATCCTTCGGCAACTCTTTGGTGGGCGTCCGTGCCGCCCGAAAACGAGCCTGCAAGAGTGAGGCTGGACTGGCGCCGGACTGTCGCCAAACTGTCGCCGGGTTCAGCAGGCGTTCCGCCCGTGCCCGGGGCCAGAGAGGGTACCCCCCAGACCTCCCGAGGGTATTGCACGGCAGTCCCACAGCAAGGCCGGGGAAATATTACCCACCACTCTGGCGAAGGGCCACTTTTACGTGCAGCCCGGAGGAGGAGGAGGAGGAGGAGGAGGAGGAGGAGGAGGAGGAGGAGGAGGAGGAGGAGGAGAGAGGAGAGAGGAGGAGGAGGAGGAGGAGGAGGAGGAGGAGGAGGAGGAGGAGGAGGAGGAGGAGGAGGAGGAGGAGGAGGAGGAGGAGGAGGAGGAGGAAGGAGGAGGAGGAGGAGGAGGAGGAGGAGGAGGAGGAGGAAGGAGGGAGAGGAGGAGGAGGAGAGGAGGAGGAGGAGGAGGAGGAGGAAGTGGAAGGAGGAGGAGGAGGAGGAGGAGGAGGAGGAGGAGGAAGAGGAGGAGGAGGATAATATCTTGCTGCCAGAACCATGCTGGCTAACCTTGCCTCACACAGCCGTCTGTTGCCCAGGAGGATGGGCGGGCACGCTTAAGAAGTGCTTCACACGCTTACGCGGCGCGGGAGTCGTCGGGCGCCGTGTGGGGCCGACGACCGCTGCAGCGCCCGCGCAACTCAGATGCACCGTTCACCCGCCACGTAGCGGGCCTGAGGAGGTTGAGGAGGTTGAGGAGGAGGAGGAGGAGGAGGAGGAGGAGAGGAGAGGAGGAGGAGGAGGAGGGAGGAGGAGGAGGAGAGGAGGAGGGAGGAGAGGAGGGGGAGGAGGAGGAGGAGAGGGAGGAGGAGGAGGAGGAGGAGGAGGAGGAGGAGGAGGAGGAGGAGGAGGAGGAGGAGGAGGAGGAGGAGGAAGCGGAGGCGTGCCTCGGGGCGGCCTCGGAGGGCGCGGAGAGCCGCGTCGCGCGGGGACCGAGCCGCTTGGCCCTGGCGGGCCCTGGCGGGCCCCGGCGACAGCGCCAGGCCTCCCCGAGGGCGCTGTTGCCCTCGCCGCGCGGCGCCGCCTCGAGGGCCTCGGACTCGTACTTCGGTCCGTCTGTTCTGTGTTGCTGTACTGTTGTCTTGTTGGTCTGTTTTGTGGTTGTGGTTGTGGTTGTGGCCGTGGCTGTGGTTGTGGTTGTGGTTGCTTCTGCTTTTTCGTCGCCTCCCACTCGTCTTTGGGGGCGAAGTGCGGACCCAGCATCGTTGTGCGACTGAGCTTCGGAACGCCGTCCCAGTCCTCGCTGGAACGCGCCTCCAGCATCGCCCTGCGCCGAGCGAGGTGCACGACGGGGTCGGGCACGTACCGCTTGCCGCCCTGCTGCCTCGTGCAGCGTCCGTGTTCTCTGCGACGGCGACGCTGCCGCTCGGCGCCGTCCCGCCGCTGCTGCCCAGTGGAAAGGAGGCGGCGACTCGGCGACGGTCCTCGGCCTCCTGCTGGTCCTCGAGGTCGCGCCGCCCGCGCGACAGCCGCGCAGATCGCCTCACGAAGGGCTGCGCTGCCGCGGGTCGACGCCTCCCGAGCTCCCGAGCGGGCTGGCCAGCCCAGTCCGTGCAGAGCTCGTCCTCAGTCGGCTCCGCCTGGTGGGCCTCAACGAAAAACTGCACCTGGATGCCCCTGGCCGCGGACGATCAGAGGGGCCGCCGGGATCCTATCGCCGCATTCGTCGCGGGGGGACATTTTGTGCGGGCCCCTACCGCGCAAGGACCCCCAGCATGTCGCCGATGCGCACCTCCTCGCCTAAGATGGGCGAGGTCCTGCCCTGGTGGCTCTCGACGCTCACCTGGCCGCCGTCGGGCTTCAGTGGGCCGTTGATGCCGTTCTCCAGGACCCACCGCGAGTAGTCGCCGAGGTGCGCCTCCGCACCGAAGATGCGCTGGGTCCTGCCCTGGTGGCCCATGGTGCTCATCTGGTCCTCCAGGACCTCCCGCGAGTCGCTGATCCACACCTCCGCGCCGCAGCTGCACTGGGTCCTGCCTTGCTGACCCATGATGCTAACCTGGCCGTCGTGCTCCGTGGCGGGGTCCTCAGTTTCCTCCCCCGCGGAGGGAGGGCGTCGGGCCAAGCCCCAGGGCGCCGCCAGCGTCGGCACCACGGAGATCTCGACCGAGATCTGCCTCCTGCAGCGTCGGTTCCTGGACCTGCACCGCGATGCCGGGAGCGTGCAGGAGGGCGTCGCACTGTGTCTTCCCTTCAAGGCCGTGCAGCTGGGTCCTGCAGAGCTCCATCGCCGAAGCCTGGCTACTGAGGGACGCCCTGGGAATATGGCCGCCATGCAAGGCGGCGCGGTGTGCTTTGTCCAGTTGGACGCGGCGCAAGCCTCCGCCGCGTCAGCATACAGCCCAGCGTCGCCAGCCCCAAGCAGCCGCAGCGCCTCCAGGGCGTTGCCCATCGGGCCCCGACCGGGTCGGACAGCTGCCAGTGAAGCTCCAGCCCGCGTCGCACGAGGGCCGTGCGCCGCAAGAGCGCCTGAGCGCCACTGCCGCCGAGCTCAGCGCTGGCGCGCGAGGGTGCGGGCAGATGCGGCCGCCCAGCGCCTGCCTGCCCGCCTGGCGTCACCGCCGATCCCCGCGGGACCATCCTCCATGGCCGCCTGCGCGCTCCAAGGCGCCCCTCCAGGGCGCGCGGTGCGAGGGCCTCCTGTGAGCCTGCTCACTTGAGCCAAGATGGCTGCGGGGAGGAGGAGGAGAAAGAGGAGGTGGAGGTGGAGGAGGAGGAGGAAGAGGAGGAGCAGGACCAGTGTAAGCCCACGACGCACCAACGATGTTGCAGTACATCCTCCCTCCGAGCTCCCTCTCCATAGGTCCTTACAACAATTTGTTTTTATTGCGGGAAGTGGCCCATTGGAAAGAACGGTCTGAGAATCCTCTGTCGCGCCAGAACACAATTCCTGGGACGTCAATGCCGCGAATCATCGTGACTGTTGCGTCCTGACGCTCCTAAACCGTGCCATAATACATTTTCTGGGACTTCAACACCGCGAATCAAGATGACTGTTGCGTCCTGACAATCCTACATCGTGCCAGAACGCCATTCCTGGGACTTGAGCCACACGCTCCTCGAAGCTGCTGCAAACTTTTGCCTGGAATGTGCGCGGCGCTGAGGCGAGAGCCTCACATTGAGCGGGAGCCGACCTCCGTCCGTGAAGCTGTTGTTTTTTTATGACGAGTGTGCGCGGCGCTAAGGCGGGAATAACATTCGAATAGGACTGGCCGCCCGCCCTCCATCATTGAGGCTATTGCGTGTCTTTGAAGCGAACGTGCGCGGCGCTGGGGCGATAGCAACATTTCAGAAAAGACCAGCCCTCCATACTTGAGGCTGTCATTCGCTTGAAGCCCTCCATCAGTGAAGCCGTTGCGTATTCCAAGCGTGAACGTCATCAATGGTGAGAAAGTCTCCGCCTGGGGGTGCGACTGGGAGAAGGCGTGTATAAGGACAAGGGATGGATGAGGAGGAGGAGGAGCAGAAGGGGGGGGAGGAGGAGGAGGAGGAGGAGGAGGAGGAGGAGGAAAAGGAAAAGGAGGAGGGGGAGGAGGCGGGGGGACAGGAGAAGGAGGAGGAGGAGGAGGAGGAGGAGGGGGGAGGAGGATGAGGGGTGGGAGGAGACAGAGTAGTAGTAGAAGTAATCGTAGCAGCAGTAGTAATAGAAATATTATGATTAGTAGTAGTAGTAGTAGTAGTAGTAGTAGTAGTAGTAGTAGTAGTAGTAGTAGTAGTAGTAGTAGTAGTAGTAGC